ACACACACACACACACACACACACACACACACACGTCCACATGAAAAACACAGTAACTGTTCCTCTTGATCAAAATATCCCATAAATTTACCACCAAGTCACATGTCGACAACCTTGAGAAAGACGATGAATTTTTCTTTATAATGAATCACATGTCGAATCGCCATTGAGCACTAAAACCTCTTTATGCCAAAATACCAACAATCGCATAAAATACCGAAGCACAACTGAGAACGATACAAAGTTATAGGCCTATTCTCTTCCCGTATAAAAAGACTTAGCCTAAACTATCATCAAATACCACGGCACAACTGGGTACGATAAAGTTATAGAAGAGTTCCTTCCACTTCAAAAGAAAAAATACTACATGTACTATCACACCAAATACCGAAGCGCGATTGAACAAAATGGTGAAATATTCCACCTTTCTCCTTCCGTAGAAGTACATGCAGCATAATAAAATATTTACAATGACATCACATTCCGACGAACGATAAAGCAAGACGCTAAACTTCTCAGGCTCGCGTCCCCGTTTCTCCGGAATACACACAGGCAGACACACACAGACACAAGCCACAAACACACAAGACGACACCCTATGTAGAATTTTCCTTATTCGGTCTATGTTTATCCTCTACGATTTTCTCTTACGCGCACACAGATTGACACACGACCAAAGACCGAACTGTTTCTTTTCGTAGTCATCCTTTTCTGAAACAAATACACACATACACAAAGAGACACATACGGTGACACAAACATAGAAAGATACGGAGAAACACAGACGCACAGACACAGACACACACATACAAAAACACACACACATACATATTATAAAGACAGAAAAGGAGACACACAGGCGTACACGCACGCGCGCGCGCGCGCACACACACACACACACAGAAGACGAAAAAAAAGATGTACCTTGTCCTAGACCTATCATGTCCGACACACTGTAAAGACTGACGTACACGATCTCTCTTCTGTCTGTCTCTCTCTCTCTATCTATCTCTCTCCATCTCTCCGTCTCTCTCTCTATCTATCTCTCTCTCTCCGAGTATCGCTCTCCGGGGTTTTCCCGTCTTTGTCCGCTTGTAACAGACACTCCCACAAACGCTCAATCACCCCACCCTCAACCTTTTCCCATCTCCCCC